CATTTTTCTTCTTTTAATAAAGAACTTTTTTTTGTGTCTCCCTAGTCTTTTTGTGGGGGCCCGAATATTAATGTTGGTCTTGAGTCCTCTTTACATTCTATGACCACTTCCACTTCAAACTTCATACACTGTAATTAAGATCTGTTCTCATCAAAAGTTGTTATTAATCAATCTATCTGATGCTCAAAATGCTGGTCTTTTATGGTCCTTTATTATATAGCCTATTTCATTCATTTTGGTCTCTTTAATCTTATTAAAATATCTATGTACATAATTAAATATAATAAACGAAGCTTAGAAGTGTGAACAGCTTGATTCATGTCAGAATTAAAACTAATAATCTCTCTATATCTTTTTATAAGCAACAACTACCATTTTTTTTGGTCCCTAAATATAAGAAATATTTGTAAGTTGTCCTAAATTTTTGTAGTAAATTTTCTATTTTGCCCCTATTAATTATTTATTTTAATAATCAATATATTTATTATCTTATTTTCCAAATTATCATCTCTCCGTCACACATTCTCTCTTTCATAGTTATCTTTATTATAATCACTTTTTTATTCTCTTTCTTATACTTTCTTTCCCATGAATAAGAGTATTTTGAAGAAAAAACTTCCAATTTTTATATATTTATTATTTTTAACCAATTTTAACTAATATTTTTTTCTACGTGATGGAATTCAAACGTTGCTTATAAAAGGGACATAGAGAGTGCAAAGGTTTGAATATTGATTAATGTATTGGGATCCATCGTGTGGGTCCTAACTCCTAAGTCTTGTTCAACGCATAAGATCTTCACCGTACATGACGACTTCAAAAGTTTAAATTATTATCGTCATAAATTAAAGAAAAACAAATTAAACACGGACATCATCATCATCATCATCATCATCATCATCATCATAATAATAATAATAATAATAATGATTTCTGTAGAACCGCGTCATGTCGCCATTTATTTAAAAACGTTGGAGAAATTTAGGTGAAATCTTGATCGGTGCCAGAGGTCAACCTTTTTTTTTTTTTTTTTTAAAATACAAACGTATAGCATCGTTTTGGTCAACAAAAAGAATTCATTAAAGCAAGGTCAACTAAAATCTGGAATTATAAAATATGATTACAAAGTCAAGTGAAAAATGACGCATTGGTACCATTTAAGAGACATAACAACGACACTTTGGGGCCTTGAAATCTTAAAGAATATTTTGTATTTGTTAAGGTACATGGAAAAATTTTCCTTTCTACACTTACCTTTGAAAATAGTGGATAACATCCAGCTAATTATATAATAGTAGTAAATACTATCTCTGGTTCTAATTATAAGAGCCAGTTGACTAATTTGAGAAGATTAAGGAAGTAAGTTGAGTTAGTTATTTGTCCTAAATAGGTGTTATCTTTCCTAAAATATCCTTATTAATCAAGTGTATTGACTAAAACTATCGTTGTTAGAAGGGTTATTTTAGAAAAAAAAAAAGTATAAATATGAGAGACAAAGTGGATTGGGGTCTTATATTTAGGACCAAAATAAAAGTTAAACAGAGTCTTATATTAAGAACCGGAAGTAGTATAAATTTGCAGAGGAAGCTTAATTTTAATTTCATTAATAATGATCTACGAATTTCCCAGCATTTTTGAGGTTTAAGACTTATAATTATGTTAGGTGTGAGAATGATAATTATAAATTATAAAGGTGAATTATTTCTGGATGGTGTAACATATGATATATGGCGTAGATATTATCACGTAATTTTATATATCGACGCCTGACGATGAAAATAATTATCATTATGATTTAAAATAGTTTATAAGCAGTTATGTTAATCTAACATTCAAAGATTAAGGTCGTACGACTCGTTTACGATTTGATCTCTCGAATTTTGCCGAAATTTAAATTAAATTATTACGTGGCACATTTTTAAATTCTAACAACAGTGGTTCTGGGAGTATTACATTCCTACGTAATAAATGTCCAAAAAGTGAAGACATGCACCAAGATTATCTTATAAACTACCGAGACATCTGACTCTCTATTATTCCAGTGATTACATCATCCATTGCAAATGAAAGCTAATTTGAAAACGAATAATAATGCTGCGTACGTATTTATGGAAAGAAACAAGCAAATCAAGCTTAGCTAGACACAAAACAAAACCCAAAAAAAAAAAGTTGAATAATTTTTTTACAGTATCCTTCGTCCTGCCTGCTAATTATGATCAAGCCATATCACTTCAATATATATGTGTGTGTGTGTGTGTGTGTGTGTGTATGTAAGTACATGCGCGCGCGCGCGTGTGTATATATCAGTGGCACTTGGTGATCTGCATGAAAATGGAAACCAAAATGAGACAGAAGTCAGATATTGAAAAGATAAAAAGATAAAGAACGACACTGTTACGAGAGAAGCGGCTAATAAATTAGGATCTCTTCATAATTTGGAGTAAGCTTACGTTAGAAGAGGATGAGAATCTAAGAATTAGCTGTTATATATGTTGAAATTAATTAAGAGCCTAATATCATTCCAATTATTTCAGCCTTCAGGGCAAACTGATGAAGATTTAATTTGGAGTCTCTGAATTGAATGCAAGAACTTAATTAATAACAAAATATCTTAAAATAACACATAACTCATCAGTTTTTCATAATGGAAAATGATTTATATGAGTCAAGAAAAGAATATATATATATATATATATATATTAACCTGAGCACGACATGAATAGAGTCATCAACTCTTGGAATAGACACCCTGAGTAGTAGGGATTCGAGTGCCAGATCTTATAGAGCTGGAGCCCTGAGTCGTAGTAGGTGGCCTAGGGTTAGGGCAAAGAGCTTTTTGAATATCTATGCTTGAAGAACTCATACTGCTCCTTCGATTCCTTCAAAAAGGATCTTCTTCTTCAATTCTTTGAGAGTATTGATTGAGCGGAAAGATTGCTTATATTGACAATCAGATGTAGGTAGGGGTTGCAGTGAAACTCCTATTTATATACATGATCCATGTTCGCTGATGATGAACAGTGCGAGAAAATTAAGGAAATGGGAATAATGAGGTAATGACCAAGTAGTATCGTTGAGGAAATTTACAAAGGAATACTTGTCTCTTACGTGTATGCATATTAGTTAGTTAGCGTCTGACATTTGAACTTAATTACGTTGTCGTTGAACGTTGAAAACGCGATTCAGATTAAAATTCACCGTGTGTCCGACCACTTCAACTTCAAACCTCTCTCTACATATTAGTTACGTTAATGAATCATATATATGTGCAGCTTATAGTCTAATTTAATTAATATTAATATCTTTGTATTTTGGTCTGTTTCAAGCTAATTAATAATAATGCTTCTAACGTTAATGTGGAAACCTTTCGACTTTTCAGACTGGAATAACAGAGTATTACCCAATCCTTTTCGTCTGTTCTGGTTAAGTGCAAGGCGCACCCCATTTAACATTTTTGGATCAGTTTGACTACTCATCAATTTTTGTTCATATTTTTCCCCACGAATACGGAATAATTAAGTCTATGTTATTTAACGTGAAATTCAATCTCAACCTTTGACCACCGACTCTTATTTATTGGCAATTTATATCGAATTTTTCAATTCTTTTGTGGGATTGAATTATGCCGCGCCAAATGCTTCTTTGCATTTATAGATGAAATTTAAGCTGTTTTTCTTTTAAAAAAATCAAGTGGATTATATTAATTCCGTGATGAATGCATAGCGTATTAAGATAATAACATCATTATAAAATTAGTTTTTTGTTTGAAAGTTGAGTAGATTTGAATTAGATTCGCGTAGTACATACAGAGAAGTAACCAGGTAAAGTTGTTACTATATTATTATATATGATTTGGTGATGAGAAGCAATTCATTGGAAATTGGCAAGGAAGATGTATACAGGTAAGAGCAAAGTTTAATTCATAATGAAATTTCGTTGATTAATTTACTTAAATTAAACCAAAAGTATTTATTGGTTTTAATTTACTACTTCTGAATCACTTCAATATTATTATATTGTTCTGCCTTGCTTCATTAAAACTCCTCATAATTAAGATCAAAGTGTAATTCATAACTATTCATATAAATAAAAGCATTAGTGCTTAAATTAATTCCTGAAATAAAAAAATCCAACATGAGTTGGCTTGTGGTCTTTTAGTCTCTTTAAATTCGTAAGTATTTATTTTTGTTTCCTTTTTGTTGAATTATGTCGTGCAAGATGCTTCGTTACATATTTGAGGTGAAATTTATGCTGTTTTTGTCTTTAATTCAACTTCAACTTTGCTCAGACTTTGCACACATTTTATTGGAGAATTATTTACGAGTTTTCATTCAATAATATCGAATCATTCTATGAAGAGTAATCCCCGGGGTTTTGTTTTATTAATGAATAGTACTGTGACATTAAATGAGGGGTAAAAATAAAACGAAATTTTTTTTTATATGATATATAGATGTATGTATTGCTTATATATATGATTATATCTCATTAGTAAAGGGATAAGATAAGTTAAACTCTCACACACACCAGGATGATTAGAAACTATAATTCATAAAAAAAAATTGAAATGAATTAATAATTATAAATTATGAACTTAATTTATTTCTGGACGGAGGTAATATGTAGCGTGTAGATATTATAAAGATGAGAGAGATTAGCGTAGAGATTTTATATTGACGCCTCATGATGAAAATATTTGTCATTATATATGATGTGGCAGACTATAAATTATAATATTTTTATGCATATTTTTTTTGGTAAAGTTTTTATGTATATTTTAATAAATAAGCATTCTTGTTTTAAAAATTTAGCACTTGAAGGTTAAGGTCATCTGGTTCGTTGCCAATAATTGATCTCTTGAATATTACAGAAATTTAAATTAAATTACGTAAATTTTAAAATAACAATGGTTACTTCTATGAGAATTCCCACGTAAATGTCGAAAGTGAAGACATGCACGAAGATTATATTAAACTACTCAGACGCCTGACTTTTTATTATTCAAATGATTACAGTATATTCCGCTGCTGTATTTATGGAGAGCAACAAGAATTAGCACAACAAATCAAGCCCTAGACTCAAAAACAAAAACAAAAACGAAAAAAAGTTGAACAATAATCTTTATAGTATTCTTATTCTTGCTAGCTAATCATGGGAGAATGTACTATGTATCCCCTTATTCTTGATCAACCCATACACTTCAATAAATATATATATATTTATATATATATATCTGGCACCTGATGATCTGCACATGAAAATGAAAGCCAAAATGAGATTGAAGTCGGACATTAAAACAAAGAAGAACAAAATAAACTATTACGAGACAAGCAGCTGATTAATTAATTATGATCTCTTGGCACTTTGGAGTAAGGTTACTTCACAAGAAGGATGATAATCTAAAAGGCTGTTTATATATATAGGCACTTAAATTACTACAAAATTCTTTAAAAATATAGCAAACATTTGAAGGTTAATTCATTTATATTACAACCCAAACCTATATATATATATATATATCTCAATAACTTGTTTGAAAATTCATTTTCATATGTCATGTTCAAATTAAATTAAGAACCTAAACAAGCATAAAATTTAGCCTTCATGGCAAACTCATGAAAGATTTAATCTGGAGGTCTTGGATTTGAAACCAAGAACTTATTAAAAAGTATTAAAAATGACACATCACTCATTAGTTTTTCCCACTGAAGACGATGATTTATATGAATAAATAAAGGAGTAAATGTGTGTGTGTGTGTGTGTGTGTGTGTTTGAATCACCTGAAAATGAAATTGAAAAGAGTCAACGACGACCCCCACGGGAACGGACATCCTGACCATTAGGGATATTAGTGGGAGGTTTTACATTTTTGGAGCCCTGTGTCTGAGTGCCACCAGAAGGTGGGGGAGGGCTAATAGTTGTCTGCGTGTTTATGTTGGAAGAACTCATACTGCTCCTTCCTCCACAAATTAAAGGTTCTGATCTTCTTCTTCTTCTTCTTCTTCAAGAGATTGCTAGCTAGGGTTTGCAATACTGAAACTCATGAATCAGATATGCGAGTGCGCGCGCGCGCGGATATATATACGTATGCAGTCAAGGTATCATATAATCCGTGTTGATTGATGAAAAGTGTGAGAAAGTTAAGGAAATGGGAATAATGAAGTAATTAACCAAGTGATTGTTGAGGAAATTTATATGTAAATACATGATCAATTACCTCCTAACACTCTGAACTTACGTTTCGGAATTGAACTTTGAAACTTCATGTGCGATTAAGGTTAATATTACGGGTCGCCTTGGGATGAGCCTTCTCCGCCACCGTGTCCCGACCACTTCAACCACAAATCTCGACATGCATTACGAATTACGTTGGATTTTGAATCATATTTACATCATATTATAATTAATTAATCTCATGCTCGAAATGTTTATCTATATATGTATATATTTATATGTTGGGATCCGTTTCATGTTAATTAGCTTTTCGTTAAGTGCCTGTGGCACCCCATTTGATATTTTTCAGTTTCACTCATCAATTATATTATAATATAATTTCTCCATTATTCTGCTTTATTCTCTCCTTTTGAACAGGTAATTAGTTTATTTCGTTTAACATGTGAAATTCAACCTCATTCTTTCACTGTTTATTGGCAATTTATACCAAATTATTTCTCCAATCTTTTGTGGGATCACATATATGCAGCGCAAGATGCTTCATTTCATTCATAGGCGAAATTTCAGCTGTTTAAAAAAAAAATTCAATAGTTGAATAAATTTGAATTAGATTTGCTTGTACACTGATGAGATATATGTAATTTATTGGAAATTGGCAAGGAAGATGGCAAGTTATTCATATAGAGACAACTATATATACTCACAATATGTGTGTGTGTGTGTGTACAGATAAGATCAAAGTTCAATTCATAATGAAATTTCGTTGATTAATTTATAGCATTCGAATTTTCCCTACATTTTTGTTCGATTTTTTCAGCCCTGACGTATGGACCACACACATTGAATCATATGTAACAAACCTACGTCATTAATTAATCGCTTACCCTAATTCAGTCTTTAATCAAAGTGCTTATGTTTTGGTTTATTAATACAACGAATTGAATTATATTCCGTTTCGTCTCTCTCTAATCCTTTTAAGAATATTTTACCAAACCTCTCAACTTTTCTTCTCCATTCTGATTAAGTTGGCCCATCCATTCTTCATATATTCATTCATGTTTGTTAAAATAATTGACTTCTTGCTTCCTTCTTCCTTTTTAATTTTTGGGTTCTAATTTATTTTCCTTCTCCAGTGCTTTCATGATCTCCCATGAACATGGAATTGACCTGATTAGGTTTTTCCCATTTAACGTCAAATTGAACTTCAGTCTTCGCCTCTTTTGTTAGCTATTCAATTCTAAATTCTTTATTACATTTTTCCCCTTTCGTGTAGAATTATGCCGTGCAAGATGCTTCATTGCATTTGAGATGAAATTTATGCTGTTTTTCTTTTTAATTCAACTTGAACTTTGCTCAGACTTTGCTTACATTTTATTGGTGAATCGTTTACAATTTTTTTTTCCTAGGAATATATATCATAAGAGGCAATCATGTTCAAAGCATTCAATTTGAACACCTTTTTCGGTAAAAATTTATTGTGAGAAACTAGTTTCTTCTATTAGACCTAATCCCTGTTAATCCTAATAATTTATTCAAGGGTAAAGGAAACTTGGATTGATATATTAGTAATTTAGTAGCCTCCTGGACATTTCCCAGCTATTAAGGAAGCTTGTTTAAAAAAAATATTGATAAACATATGAAATAGATACGCAAGACTAGCATTTTTTTCCAATTAGGTCTTACATTAAGAACCAGATGAGAATATTTTAAAATTGGAGTATATAATTTTGTTTTTTAAATCAAACTTCATACTTTCCAAGCATTGAATTCAATTTGATGTGACGTAATGCTGAAATGGTAACGAAATATTAATTACCTGCTGTTACAATTACCTGCGAATAATAAAGAAAGTGGTCAAAATTAGGTTTTCCTAATTAATATGAAACATATGCTCAATTAAACCTATTCTTCTTCCATGAAAGACTTTGCCGAACGTAACTTTGAACCAAATACATATGTTAGTAACATCATAAATAGACAATAGTCCAGTAATAATCTGATTATAATAATAAATTCGGGCTATTATATTTATATTGTCTATTTATAAACTCTCTTCTCAACCATTGGATCGGAGAATATTGAGAGGCCTCATTTCATGTGAAGTAGTCCAATATTGACTTCCCACGCATAACTAAATTTCTAGGAACGTTATAATTCTTCATTATATATTTTCATGTATGAAAAAGGACTAATGTTTTCACAAGAAGGGTTAATTATTAAATAAGTGGAGCTTGATATGAACAGTTTGATCGATGTCTGAATTAAAACCAATACAAAGGTTTGAACATTGAACATAGACGATTCAGATTAATTAAAGCTTGATCGTGTGGGTCCCAATTCTTGTTCAACATATAAAATCTTTGTAACACCCCGAATTTTATGATTTAGGATGAGTAGAAAAGAGAAAAATTTATTAAAATTATTTATTTGCCAAATCAAGGGGAAAATTATGGAATAATGATTTTTAGGGTTTAGAAACATTTTGGAAAAGGTATTTCCCCAAAATGATTAAATAATTTTAATAGATAATTTTAAGAGAAGAATGGTTTATTTTCTCTGGAAATTATGGAAAAATACTTAGAGATTTATATTTAATCTGAGAATTTTAGGATAACCAGTTGGGATGGATAAGAAAAATCCATTCAGGATATTTTGGTTTAATTTCTGGATATATCTCATATTTCAGAAAAATAGGAGAAGGTTGGAGAAATAATTATTTTGGAGGGCAAAATGGTCCAGAAATGTTGTAACACACGTGCTGCCTTCTCCTCAAGACATCTGAAACCTTTCTCCATTTAACAGCTGATCACCACGCGCTTAACTCATATCATTCGGTGTCAAGAGAAAAGAGAGATAGAGAGCGCGAGCGAGAGAGAGAGAGGAAGCACGAGAGGAAGAAGTCGGTGACGGAGAAGAGGCTGAGTTGAATCTGGTGATCGGAGGTGGTATCCAATGCATGCAAACCAATCAAGTATTCAGGTGAGCCTCCTGATCAATCTTCCACCATTTTCCTTTCCATTATCTGCATGTTCTGGGCTGTGATGGAAGAGAGAGAGATACGTTTTAGTGAGAGAAAGTGAAGAAACGAAGAGGAGGACCGCTGGGTTCGTGTCCTATAGCTAGATTGAGGTATTTGATACTGGTTTTTGATCTTGCGTGTTGGGTTGAAGACTGCATGTCAGTCGGAAAATTTCATGCGTCTCTTTCGGTCTGAAGGTTTCCCCCTTCGTCTCTGTTTATGTGGACCGAAACAGAGGTTAAAGGGAGGAGAAGGATGTTTCTTATATATATATATATGCATGCGCCGCGGGATCCTGAAGGTGCTTGTGTGTGCTGTGTTTCTAAGCTTTGGGTGTGTGTCGGCTTCAGTAGATGAAGGCAAGAAATGAGAAGTATAAGCGTGAAGTGGGTTGCTTGTGTGACTGGTTGCATGTGTTGTTTTCCTCTGTTTATTGCTGTCCGAGCAGGGGAGTGGGTCGCTGGTTTAAGATGAAAATGGGTTGTGTTGATGGAGTGTGTTGAATGGTTTGCATGTGGGATTTCTACTCTGTTTTGATTTGACTGAAACAGAGATCATATAGCTCATGAACAAGAATCAGATTTGTGCTTTTAATGAGAAAGATTTCGGTTTGGTTATGCTGAGTGTTAGTCGAAAGCAAAAACAAGCTTGAGAACATAGTTTAATGGGTAGAAGAATACTATATGAATAAGAGATGAGTGCCTTGATTTATAGGACTAGAAAGAGCCAAACGCGTTTTAGATAAATGTGTTATATACATATATATTTGTATATGTGCGTCTCGGTCATGTTTGTAGGAATAGAAATTGCATAGTTAAATGGTTTCGGGTTCACTAGTTATTGAGAGAAGGATATATGTACATAAATGTATATAAGCTTGGATGGTGTTTATTTTGCTTTTGAGATTATTGAGGCTGGTTTTAGAAATGTATTTTGAATATGGAAAATTCCAGATTTTAAAGGGGGCTGTGTAACATATAACAAAAGCAAATAGATAATTAAAGGATTCTAAACGAGTTTGAAACAAGTGTGTGAATAAACTATGGGTAAAGGAAAGGATTAATAAGAAATGGTGATTGTGGAAGAAAGTTGGAATTTTTGAATTATTGAAGCTAAATAAGAATCTTAAAGGTATATGAGTTGCTAATAATAACTAGAAAAGTTTGTAGATTTATTTTGGGGTGTTAGATTAAATTATTTGGTGGAATAAGGAAAAGTAAAGTAACACTATGGGTTGAGATAAGGAAGGAAGCGTTCTAAAGAGAATAGTTTGAGTAAGAAAAATTATCAAAGATGACCAACTATTATTATGTAAGGGTAGAGATTAAAGAAGATTTGGGATTTAAAGAGTTATTTAATTTATTAATTATAGTTGGATCAAGTATTGATCTATCCTTACGAATATGATAGGTTTTGATATCTGCTCAAGCCCATTAAGAAAGCAGAAGGAAAGGATAATGGTAAGGTTTGGTTTGGAGGGAAGCTGACCAGGTAGTAGTTCTTTCCTCCCTTATACTTGTGTATGATTGCTGCATGTCTGTTTGTGCCATATTGCTATTCAAAAAGCATGAGAACATGTAATCCTTAATTCCTTGCATGGATTATTTAGCCGTGATCATGTGTAGCTGATAGATATGGGGCAGTGATTGCCAATTATTTGCGCTTTACTTATTCAGCTTGTCTAACAGACATGGGGCAGTGATTGCCAATTATATGCGCGGCAGTGATTGCCAATTATTTGCGCATTATTTATTCAGCTTGTCTATCTGTCATTGCGCATAAATGCTTAATTGCATTAGCTTGCAAGGTTTTGTTCCATATGGCTTGTTTTGCATGTTTTATGTGATCTGCAC